TCTCTCTCTCTCTCTCTCTCTCTCACTCTCTCAGTCTTCTTCTTCGCCATGGTCTGCTCTGCAGGTGCGCGGCGGCTTCTCCAACCTCCCGGTCCGCTATGGCGGACTTCTTCTTCTGGCGGCCACCTCAACTATGGCGCATCAGGCCCTGCACACAACGTAGCGCGTGGAATAGCGGGTACCAGCTCTGATACCAATGCAATCAGACTCGTTTTCAATCACACTTTTCATACATGCAAACAGTAGCGCAGCAACCTGGCGACATGCGCCCGCTCAAAACTCAGAGATATGGAAACCCAGATACGAGTTCACTTTCAATGACTATGGCGGCTCAGCGCCCAAACAACTCACTGTTCGCTTACACCGGATCACCCTGGATATCCCACACACGACTCTCGGAACACTCACATAACACTCACATACACACACACACTGAATACTAACTACAGCTATGGTGGCTATGGCCACCTCTACCCTATCGCTGTGCTACGCTCCTTCTCTCTCGCCCGCTTCAGCTCCGGGCTCACTGCAGATCTCCTTGCACAAGTCGCTGTGGCAGCGCTTCCGCATGGATCACGCAGGAATGAATGAATGGCTGGGAGCTGCCTCTTGATTTATACTTCTGAAACTTGTTGGTCTGCCCTCTTCCATCGGCCCCTGGTGCTCACAGTCCCTCGTGGTACTTGCTGGACTGAACTGGGACTGACTGGACCTTACCGCTGACTGAATGGGGACTCACTGCTATCCTACTGCTATCGTACTGCGAACGTGCTGCAGTTAGTCCACCACTTGCCCACTTGCCCACTTGCTCAACCTTCTAGAAAGACTACAGCTAGGACTTCTAGACTTCGCTAAGACTTCTATTCGACAGACCTACAGATCAAACTCCTGCTACCTACGGACCCTACGACAGTCTACTAACTGTTACAAATACACATGTCGTGGGTTCAAGCCTTGGGGTCGACACAGATACTGTACACCGGTAGGGTAAGGGCTAGGGATCGAGCCCTGGGGTCTGCATCTGCTACTGCAAAAGGTGAAAACCGTTTCATGAAACTCGTGATGCAATTCTGCTTTTGGTTCGAGGTCACGACTATCTGGTCTCATGTGTATGATGCTGTTTGATTTCTGAAGTTCGCTATCCGTCATCTTCCTTGCACTTAAACTTGGAAAAAAAAAAGAAAAAAAAAGTGAACAGGGTTATGTCACATATGTGCTTAACGGGAACTTTACCCTTGTAAATGGAATTTCATGTGTAAAAATTTTAAGTTCAGATCAAGCCAATCATTTCCAGAGGGCCCGAACTGAGCTGATGGTTCCCTGTGAATTTGAGAGTTAAGTGTTATGTGCGTGATTGAAACGAGATACAGCATGGCATTCACACGTTGGCATACACATGTGCAACAACAAGAGATCTTGGAGAGAGCAATCTACACCACACAGGAGGATGAGAATACACAATGGAAGCACACTTGCACCAAAAATAGAATTGGACATAACCAGGAGGCCCAAGCCAAATATCTCCGCTGCTGAGTGGAAGTTGGTTAGGCTTTCCAGCTCATGCCAGGTCCTAGGAGCCGGGGTACTGCTCTCCCCATAGAGCAGAATAGACTGGCAAGGCTAGAAAAACTCAACGCATAATCTTGAGCATCCCTTGGAAAAACTGCACAGTGGACATATGTGTAGGTAGGTAGGTAGAGTGAGGTATACAAGTGAAGAATATGGATTAGTTTTAAAAAAAAAAGAAAAAAAAAAAAAGGACATAACCTATTCGAATTAGAAACCTGCTCTCCCAGGTAGCGAAATAGCAGAGCAGGTTTCTAATTAGAATTGGTTGGAATTGGACATAACCAATTCTAATTAGAAACCTGCTCTCCCGCCCAAGCGGGCTATAGCTCAGTTGATTGAGCACATAAGTGGCACTCAGGAGGTCGTGGGTTCGATTCCCGTCTTCGTCCTTTCGAATCAGGTCGTGGGTTCGATTCTCGACTTTGTCCTTTTGATTCCCGCAGCCTCCTGGGGGTATGCTTCAGGTTCACCAGCGGAGACTGTTGGCTTGGGCCTCCTGGCTGGTTGTGGACGTAATCAGTTCTTCCCAGTCCGCGCCGGGTGTTAGGACCTTGGATACTGCTCCCCGCACAGAGCAGAGATAGGTAGGTGTAGAGTCTTTACTCTTTAGACCCATAACCTTAGGATAGCTTAGCTCGAGCCAGTAAATTTAAGTTCCCATTTCCATAGATATAGGGGGTGTCTCTCTCTTCTGCTGTCCGCGTGGTAGTGCTTGGAGGAAAGGTATACTATTTCCTTAGGACCAAGTGCAAAGTTCCAAACCCCATTAGGTGGGTAGGTAGTTAAAGTGAGGTAGATACAAAAGATTGAGAGAAGATATAATAGGGTGACAAAAAAAAATGCAGCTTGTCCCCCACCGGCAAGTCAGAAAAGATTACAATGAGTACTCACCCACGCTCCTCCCCCTTACGGTGTGAAGGTCCGACGGACGGCATTGATTACTTCCTGAGGGAAGGATGTCCCATCCCTCACCCCTGCCCAAGTTAGCTCCCCCTTATGAGTGCTTTATTACGTCTGAATTGGAATGCTTATCTGGTTTCCTCACTGTAACGCGTCTTGTAGCACTCATAAGTTAGCTGTTTTCTCACAGTTAGCACCCATAAGTTAGCTGTTTCCTCACAGTTAGCTTATCTGGATTGATTGGGGTCGATCCAATCTGCTCCTCTCAGCTCATTGGTTGTCGAATTTTCTTTCTCACCGGAACAGACAGCTGTTTTGGCTGTATGCGGTGTTCTTATCTAAAGCCCTAAAGGGCCTAAAACCTATCAGAATTAGTTGCTGCGCTCTTTGCTGGGGACAAGAAAAAGCCTATCCTACTGTTTTACAGCTTTTAAGGACTCTGCGGCCAATTGAAGGGAGAGGGCGTATTTGTGTTGTAGTGGAGAAGTTGACAGGGTTTTGTGTCTGATAAAGTGCCAAGACTACCGTCATTCACCCGAATAGAACGCACGGTAATTATGGCTGTATTTGGGCCAACTTGCAGATCGGATGCAGCAACAATGACGGGGCGTTTTATTTGGGTTAAGACGGTAGTGGGATTTAGGCTGGACTATTAGGGGTTTAGGTGTTGGTGTGGAGGGGGAAAATAGCGGCGCTGGAGAGGCTTGATTGTTGGGGGGAGAGAACGTGCTGGCTGGGGTGTGGATTGATGTGTTGTTTCCTATTTTCCAGGGGTTCTGGCTCCATGTGTGTGGGGAGGGCGCTTATGCGGTTGGACTGTTTAGGGTTTAGGGAGACTTTGGGGAAATGGTATGTGGAGACAATGGAGGATATGCGAGGGGTGGGCCATGTGGGGTGATTGCGGTGGTTATTGTAGGGACTGTATAAGGGTGGGTGTTGGGTGTTTGGCTCGGGTTGGTTTGTGATGGGATTGGTGGTGTTGCTAGAAGATTGGGGTTATTGCTGATACAAGAGGAGGGGAGGATTAACCAGTTCTTAAGGATTAGAGTGCCATTTTTTATTGTACCTAGTTGCCCTGAGCCTAATTTTAGTGGTATGAACTTTTTGATCGTTTCTGCTTTTTTGTCCGGTGAACTGCGTATTTGTTAATTAGTTTTTTCTTTTCCATTGCACCTGTAATTCTGTTTCAATTATGTGTTTTATAGTGATGATTGGGTTCTCGGGATTGGTGGGGTGGTCTTCAAAGGTTTTGTCGCATCTTCTTTTCCATAATCCCCAAAGGATTCCTTTC